CAGAACCCCCCTGGAGAAAAAACACAGAGCAGCACAGGACAGAACCCTGCTCTGTGGAGAAGGAGAGGATATGAGAAATGTTTGAACACTCAGGGTCAGCCCAAGAACACTTCTGTGTCACTGGGGCAAGCACAGGGTTTTTTTGCCAGCCTGAACTGATATAATTCCGTGTTTTGAAGGCAGCAGGCAGCTCCAGGGCCTCTGCTGCTGCCCTGGGAGGGGTTGGCCAACCTACAGCAGCGAGAAGCCTCCGCAGGCTCCAGCCCTGCCATCCATGACCTTGGGTGCCCTGGGAAAGCTGGCAGCACGTGCATCAGCTCAGCACACAGCCAAGGGGGAGCAAGACAGCAGGAGCTGACCTCTGCCCACATCCCCACCCCGATCCCCTCCTCAGACATCTGCACAGGAAGGACCTGCACATCCAACAACCGACAGTCCGGTACCTCAGAGGCAGAGAGGGAGGAGAGAGACCCTGCTGCTTCTCCCATCGAGGAGCCAAAGGAGAATGAGAGTCATCTTTGACCTTGCTAACAAACCATTAGACAGGAGAGAGGGAGCAGAGATGGAGACTTGCTCAGCTCCATCCATCCCCTGCCTGGCAGCTGTGGAGCCACGGGGCAGGAAGGCAGGGCAGGATGCAGGCAGAAGGCTCCAGGGAACAGAGCTGAAGACAGAGGGAAGAGAAGCTGAAAAATAAGGAGAAGGAGGAGAAAGGATTAAGACAGGAAAAACAGGGAAAAATAGAGGGGAACATTAAAAAAAATTAAATCCATCACCATGGGAGGTGAATCATCAGGAGGGTGCAGAGGATTTTGGAAGCAGCTGAGGTGGAGGCATGTCAGCTGAGGCAGATGCACACAGACCCTGGGGGTGCTGTGCCTCAGGAAGGGCAGGCACTGGGCAGTCCTGTCAGAGGGTTCCCAACAGCTCCCTCCAAAATAATGCTGACCATGAGCTTGGTCACTGGCCCCAAGGGGTTAGTGCTGGGTGCTGCCCTTCAGCTGCTGGCAAGCTGATCCTGCAAAGCCTGGCTCAGCCAGGAGGGCAGTGACAGAGATGGGATTATGCCAGATCAGCTCAGGATCTGGCTCACCATGAGAGTCTGGGCTGTACCAACCCAAGGAAAGCACAGCAAGATCTGCACACAGAGCTTTTAAACCACACATGGAAACTCCTTCACCCCTGGAAGGACTGCAGGCAGAGCAGAGGGCTTTCCAGCCCCCAGACATGGATCTCCTCTCCCCAGAAGCGAGGTGGGAGGGCAGTGGGCGTGCAGTACCTGTGGGTCTGGCTCGATGTTGATCCGGTATGCCTGAGCCTTCCCGTCCTCCAGAACAGGGGGGGACCAGCTCTTCCCTTCAGCTCTGCAGGAGGAAATCAGGGAAACTCTATTTAACTTTTAAATGAACCCAACCAAAGCAAAAAAAATTATAATAAATTCAAACAAACAAAACCCACAAAAAAACCCCTCAAAAGCCAAACATATGTATAGTATGTAGGCCTGCCAGGGAATTATTATATACATATTTGTCTAAAATTATCCTCAGAAATAGTACAGTGGTAAACAGAGAAGATGCCAGTTCCATGCTATTAAAACCATGAAGCTCAAAACCCATCCTTGAAGTACAGGCTCTGACTCAGTGGGGGGTTTAAGACACAAACTTATTTTGGTTCAAGAAATCAGCAGACAAGTTCATGATGGTTCTTGTTTTGCACATTCCTGGCTTTGTCCCTGTATTCTGGTTCTGAATCCAGAAGGTATTCTGATTACATGTGTGTCTGTAGATATATATATATACACATCTGTATATATATATATACACATACAGGCACATATATATGTGCATTCCCTGGCAGGCCCATATACTAGCCCAGGACTGCAGGACTTCTATAAACACCTTTCAGGGAGAAGGCTTACACAATCCTGGCTGAATCATCTTGCATCTTGATCCTTTCAACAGGTGCCAGATACAGAAAGCCCTAAAAATACAGTTTCCGCTGCAAAATGCATCTTCAGTCCTGCCAAGGCAGAGCAGGATGCTGCCACTGTCCAAAGATTTTCCATGTGCCTGCTCATGTTTCCCCCCACAGGGGCACAGCTGGGATGTGATCTCTAGTGGATCTCCAACACCCAGGGTATGAGGGAGCTGCCTGGGCTGGGCACGGTCCAGCAGGCTGGTACACAGGCTTTTTGGGATGCAAGGAGGTTGAACTGGGAGATGGAAACTCCGTGAAGTTCAAGATAAAGTTTTCACAGGCAAACTATTCTGTTTATCATCACAATCTGCATATGCACCACTTAATGAAAGTAGGTCTTGTTCCATGGGCACAGATCACTGGCTGCATCCAACCATCCTTTGTGGACTCTGGCCCCTGCCACATACCACACTCAGCTTCAGTTTAATTATCTGCAGAGTCCAAGTGTGAAAAATAAGGAGCACAGTTTTAACCTGGGAATTCTCGAGGTGATTTTTTACCCTTGGTATTTTGCAGCTGCACCAGTCAGCACACAAAGCTGCCTTTCCAGACCTAGGGTCTGACTCAAAACCTACCAAAAGCAGGGACTCCCACTGATTTCAACACACTTTGGATCCAGCCCCGAGGATTTAAGCTCTTTTTGTTCCAAATCACTACTCAAGGCTGCCATCACAGCTTTTTCAACAGGGAATGACATACTCTCTCTCATAGCTAGATACCTTGTTCTGATAATTTATCTTTACTATAATTATCTGATTTTAGACTGGGACAATTCACTGTGAATTGGTCTTTCCAAGTGGGACAAAGGAAACAGTCCATCCCAGGCACATCAGCATGCCCAGCATCCCCAACCTGCTTTTTGGCACAAGCCAGTGCTGTGTGTATTTCTTCCACATTGAGACTCTAATCTGGAGGCCCAGAACAATGGGAATGCCTGATTCCATTGGCAGGGATCACCACTATTATCTCCCTGCTCTCCCCCACGCTGGGCCAGCCCAGGGGGCTCTCAAAGTGCCCCCAGAAGGGGCTGTGATGACATTCCCCCCACTCAGCCCTGGAGCCCACGTGCCAAACACAGCTTAAACCATCCCCAGAGGCTTCAACTTGACAGTAAATAAGAACCAAGGCTCAGAAAGCAATTCTGGCTGCAGAAGATGAGAGGAATAGCAGTAAATTCACTCTGTGTGAAGCTCTGGCATTTGGTCACCAGTACTGCCAGCACTTGCCAGTTGAAGTCTCCCAGTTCTCCACACCCCTGACAAAGATCACACTGTCTGTACCAGAGAACAGCTAAACTTGTGTTTTCTAAAGGTCATTATGGATATATTTACACTTAATGAAAGACATGGCCAGATTGGTTTGCCCAGAGAAACCCTTTTGTAGTTAATGCTTTAATAATTAAACTCAAGGCTTCACCATCAGCTTTCTTGATATAACTGAGACCACCTCAAACAGCTCCCAGTGACAGCCTGAACAAAGCCAGGCTCCCCTCAGCCCAGCTTTCACTTGAACTGTGCTGAAACAAGCTGCCATGGCACAGTCTGGGTTCCATTTGGCACTTCTAAAGGCAAAGCAAAGGGGAATGGGAGAACCACCAGCCTCACCAGAACAAAATGCACGTCCTGAGTTTGATGAGGATTTGTGCTCACACAGGGAGGCTCCCTCTTTTCCCTGGGAACAGCAAAATACCACGTAATCCAAAATAATCCCAAATAATTGGGAGGTGACTGAGAGAACGATGCCACGGGCAGCTGCTGCAAGTGGGGCTGATGCTTGGAGCTCACTCCTCAAGCCTGGCTGCAGGAACAGTCCAGGCCCACGTGCCCAGCAGGAGCAGCAGGAGGGTCCCCTGCCCCTCCCAGGACATGGGGGATGAGCAGGGCCCAGAGCAGTGGGGACCTGGGGCCAGCACAGTCACCCCGAGACACCCCAGCAGCAGGTCCACGCTCCCAGCAGTCAGAGCTTTGTGTCTGGGCAACAGCAAACACCCACTGCACTTCTCTAACGTCATGGGCCAGAGATCAGGCGTCGCTCAAATGTTCCAAGTCATTTAATTTCGGGGAAAAAGTGTTTTCAGATGTGTTGTAGGGGATTAAAGGCAGCTATGTGGAAATCATTACCCTGCACTAACACCACTCTGCTCTCTTAGCAGCTGCTAGGACAACCCCAAGAAAAATAACTTGACCTAGGTTAGTGCTGGGTCTTCCACATGGGGCTTTGTGGGAAACGGACCCATTTAACAGGACATCACTAAAAAAACAACGTTGTAGACACCTTTTATCCCACTGTTTGTTTTCTAAAAGTCTCAAAGTCATTCTCAAAAGATTACTTGCATATGCTCACATATTTTACCAAAATGTTTTTTCACCTGGCAATGATCTGTAAGTCTCACTCTCAACATTTGTAGAGCTGCTTTTAAGCTGCAAGAATTCCTGGGTCTCACTGAATTTCTAATTTCTCCATCCCCTTATAAACTAACATTTATCACTTGGAGAAGTGCCAGCCTGGATCCAGGACACTGCCACCTCTGATTGTGCAGCCACAAACCACCAGAATAATCACGTTGCTGGATTTCACCCCAGCCCACAAGGTCCTTCCAGGAGGGTGACTCCAGGCTCCTGTCCATCTCCTGAACACTCTTCCCCTCCCACCAGGGCACATCACTATGCTCAGAACTGATTTTTATTGCTGATATGGCCGTGAGCCTTCCAGGAGCTGAGTTCTGTCTAGAAGCAGCTACAGTCGATGCTTCACCTTCCCAGGACTGTGACCCTCACCAGGACAACTGCAAGGTGTTGGATCCACCCCTTCGAGGCAGGAGAGCAGCAGGGGAGCTGAGCTCTGCTGAGCACCCCAAAGGACCTGCCTGGTCCAGAGCACGTGAAGGAGAAGCTGCAGGATTTCTCCTCCTTCATTCCTCTCTCCTGAAACCATTGTGTATTGCCCTGGACAGCTGCCGGTTTTCCTCTCTATTAGTCCTCAAGGAGCTCCAGAGGGGAAGCTGTGATTCACTTTTTCAGTTGTACTTTTACTGGAAACTTGAGAACATACACTGTCATCCTTCCCATCTTCCAGCAGCGTGTCTGCACTGCTCACAGCTCAGGGACCCCGACACAACCTCCAGGAGCTGGGGGAGGTGGGAAGAACATCAACTACGGGAGGTTCCAGGGACTTTTGGGGCTACACGCCCAGCAGATTCATTACTGGGCTTTCTCCCACAGAAACTTCCAGAGAAACTCCATCTCTGTACAGGGAGCAGGAATGAATAGAGAATCTTCATACTCCAGTTCTCCAAGCAGACTCAGCAGTGGCACAAACACCAAATTGAGAGGAAAGAAACTGCTTCCAGGATTTAAGGCAAAGTAGATCCCGTGCTCCCTTGGCTTGGGATTCAACAGCTGGGAAGATGATGCTGGAACAGCTGCCTGATTTATTATCAAGGCAGCCTGAACCATTCCACCAAATCCTCATCAGCACCATCACCCCCTTTCCCACAGCCCAGGTGCTGTCCAGCCTCACTGAGCCCACTTGAACTCCTGGCCTCACATTTCAAAGCCACTAACCACGACCTGAATGCCCAGCCCTGATTCCAGGAATGCCCAGGTAATTCCTCACACCTTACATCAATGCCCACATAAATGTCAGTTATATAAATCAACTCCTTTTGTAAGCTGAGGAGGATTTTCAATCACTCCATTGCAGGCCAGGAAGGTGACTGTGCTGCTTCACCTGTCACAGCCCCACTGCCCAGACACAGCCCTGCACGTGTCCAGGCAAAGCAGGACCTAAAAAAAGCCAAGGACAAAACACCCCTTAACTTCAGATGGGTCAAGGGTCTGGCCAAGAAAGCTGAGAGAAAATGGGGGGTGTGAAGAAGAAGGGAGAACCCACCCCCCCCCTCAAGAGATTTAAGCCATTGATAAAGGACAAAGAGATTTAAAAAAAAAATTAAGAAAAAAAATAAAAGAAATATCTGTTAGTCCAGCCTGAGAGCAGAGGCAGCTTCTCTGATACAAACACTGACTGGGAGCTGCAGGGGCACAGGAGAGTCAGAGAACCCAACACCCCTGAAAAGCTACAACGTCCCCTTCCCAGCAGTTTTCCCTGTGTGGGCATGGGGCCAGCTCCTCCAGGAAAGCTGCAGCACAAGCCTTCACCCTCCCACAGCTGGCAGAGGACAAAAGGTTCAGAAGAAGCTGTTGGGCTCGCCCTGGCCCTGTGGCACAGACGGGCAGGTCTGGGCAGTGCTGCCAAGGGCTTCCCAGCAGCCTGTGTCAGCAGGAACTGCGATGCCATGAGGTCTCCTGTCCCACACCCAAGGTCCTTTGGGTGCTCAGCCCTCTGTTCTCAAAAAACACAGCTCCAACCCAATTTTGTGGGTTGGTCTGGCTGGCAGAGCCACAGGGAGGAGCGCTCAGGGTGCTGCTCCCCATGACAGTGGTTGGATGTCACATGTTCATATTTGATCAGAAGCTCTCAGTTTTTCTCCTTCCGGACTGACTGGAGGAGCAGATCCTGCCATGCAGCTGGATGAGAGAGAAACCACCAAACCCAGCATGACATTCCCAATGGCAGACAGTGCTGAAGTTCACATCACACAGAAATCCCACTCACTGCAGTGGTTCCCTCCCACGCAGGGGGCAGAGTGATTGCCTGCACTCCATGGGAAAGTACCACACTCCAGTTGTTTATTCTACCCATGGGCAGTCCTCTGGCTATTTATGTGTTTCCCACCAGTGTATCCAAATGTTTTATTAAAGTAAATTTGATAAATGGGATAATGAGCATCTCATCCCATCAAATTCAACAGCTCTCTGCATTCACAACACCTCCAAAACTCAAAGGGGCCACGTCGATCTTGGGACAGCCCATCAGACCACCCAGGAACTCCCCGTTCTTGTTTTCCCCCCATTCTGACTTTCCTACTGAACTTTCTAATCAAAGGGCATTTACTGACCAGAGGATGAAAACAAAACCCGTCTTGTTCTCTATGTCAGTAACATAAAATGTCAAGGGTTGATGGAGAAAGGGCATGGGATGGCTGGGAGGCACCAGGGGGGCACCAGGGGGCTGGATGCCCTGCCCAGCTCCCTGCCCTCCCTCTGCACACACACCTGCCTGCAGGGACTCTGCTTTGGCAAAACAGAGTTAACACCAAACTTCACGTCTCTTTGGTAAAGACGTACATCAAACAAGCTTGTTATTGCAAATCTATTTCAGACAAACACACTTATTTAAAAACAATCTCCCTGTGTTGGTTCGCAAACTGGATTTTGTTGAAGGCAGCACAGAGAGATGATTGTGCTTGGAGAGCATCCTCTGCCCAAGGGAAAAGACACTAATCCACACCCTGCTCTCTCCTGGAGCTCAGGCTCAGAGGAGGGTCCAGGGCTGGAAATGCACAGCTGTGACAAACAGCAGCAGCTGGACAGGCACACAGACCAACAAACCCAGTGAAAGCCCTGTCAGTGCCCCAGGACACAGATCCCTGGGCAGGACCGGGTCACCCCACACCCCAGGAGGCAGGACCTGGAGAAGGGATCCTCTCACACTGAGGAGGGAGCACCAGATGTGCTTCCAGCAGTGAGTAACACCTGGGCAGAGTCATCTGGATCCAACAGGTCCCTTGGGAAACAGGAGAGAGATCCAAGAGCCATGTCACTGTGCACTCACTTTGGGCCAAACTAAAAATAGCCCCAATAACGCATCACTGGAGCTGCTGTCCTCACTGCAGGAAAACAAACCACTCAGTTTTTCCTGTCAAGAGGAATGCCACTCTCATGGGCACCTCTGGGCACAGTCAAGGTGTGTTCTGCCCTCGGAGAAGCCACCAACCCGACTCAACAGTGTGATCTCCAAGAGGAGCCACCCCGTGCTGAACAGCTCCTCACCATCACCAGCTCCTGACTGCTCCTGCCTTGCAGACTCTGGGCATTCATTTTTGCCTGTGAGATACAAAACCCTTCAAATCTGCATCTTCATTAGGAAGACTTCAAGACCTGGCAGCTGTTCCGAATGGAAAGCAAAACTACTGTCCTTCCTTGGCTGTGGGAAATTCCACCTGTGCGAAGGGTTTGCTTGCTTTTCTTGTTTTCTTTCTTTCCCAGAGCTGAAGCCACATCATCCCAACCCCGTGGGCTGTGCTTCAGCCAGGCAGCCTGGACACCCCTGCTGAGGAAGCACGAGGAACCACAGAGGCTTTGTTCCATTTATGGCAGTGCTGCCTCCCCACTGCCCAGTCAGAACCACAGGGTTTTCCAAGAAAACTATAAACAGCAAATGATAGCTCTTTACAGCAGGAAATGCCTCTTTAATCTGGAGTGGAAAACTATATCCACTTATTTAAACTTATTACAGATAACATTAGCCATTCATGAACCTTATAAGGATCCCTCATTTTGCTGGGATGATTTGTGATTAACAACATTTAGTTACAGAATTAATTCCAGAGGAAAGCAAAAAAAACCCACCAAAAACCCAAAACAAAAAAGAAACAAACAAAAAAACCTTGAGCCTAACTCAATTCTTCATTTTGCCTCAAAATACTCTAAAAAGTGAATTTGGCCAGATCATCAAATGTGTATTCATTGAAGAGATGTTTAGGAAAATGACAGGTGGATGTTAATGAAGGAGGAAGGTTTGTCTAAAGGAGATTCCAATCCCATTGCTACTCTTGCTTGAATTGCTACATCTTCCCTTGGGTTGAAAGACTCAACCCAGGTCACAGTCTGGACAAGTCTTGCAAGGCACAAATGACAATCCACATGTATAAATGAACAGAACCCATTTTTTGTGTCAGTGGGCCATTCAAAATAATTTTGTTTTACTGTTTTTGAAAACACAGGACAATTACCCAGACCATGGGGATGCTCCAAGAACTGAGCCTGAGGGCACATCTGCTCCAGGACAGCCACAAGCCTTCAGCAAAGCTGACCCAGGAGCACATCCCAGCAAACCAACCTGTTCACAGAGAGCAGCAGCTGGTCCACACACGCTTTGATCTTGTTCTGTGCTTCCAGGTGTGTCATGTTCTCCGTGTTCTCTCCATTAATTGCCAGAATAACATCTCCTGGGCACAGGTCTGCCATGGCTGCTTTACTGCCAGGGTTAATCTGGGCAGGGAAAAATAAAAGGGTTACTTAAAAGAATTCCAGGTTTAAAAGAAAAAAAAAAAAAACCACAAAAAAACCCCAACGCCCAAAAAAGTCCATTTTCTCAGAATAAGCTGCAGGTAAAAGGAATAGTTATTTCTGGAGAATATGTGCTTTGCCTACACTGAGGTTGGATGTCAGAGCTCTCAGCTCAGCCTCAGTTCTCCAAGGATCATCCTCTACAACAACATTCCATGGAATAAGAGACTGCAGTCAACCCCAGTCAGTGTGTGACCAGATCCTCCCCTCACATTTGTCTCTTGCTCGAAATAATGGAATACCCTCTTTCCAGGGAGATGCTCCACACTCCTTTGGCTTGCAGACCTTACATGATGCTGCAAGAATCAACCCCTAAAGAGCACAAGGAACCTCCTCTCTGGGTAACCACAAACAGAGGGCGAGTGCTGGCACTGTAACTGCTGCCTGGGACAGGCCATGCTGGACATCAGCTTTTCCTGACTGTCACCCAAATGACTCGTCTCCTTCCAGCCCTGCATGGACCCCATCCCTGGAGGAATTCAACAGAAGTGGCTCCTGGGGACATGGTTCAGTGGCAGCCTTGGCAGTGCTGGGGTAACTGTTAGACTTGAAGATCTTTTAGATCCTTTCCAACTAAACAATTCCATGATTCTATTCTATAAATATCACACAGCTTGTTAAGCCTCCACAATTCTTTCCTTCTGGTTTTGTGGGAGTGCCAGAACCTTACAAAACTCATAACTTCTTTCCTGAGGAACTAATGACGGGTCCAGGTACCGTTTGTGGTCAGCCATGAGACCAACCCTGTAGCCCACAAAAGAGGTGCCTGAGAAATTACTCTTTCATTTACATCATCCTAAATGTGGTTTTAATTTTTAGAATGATACAAAAGGACGCAAGGCGTGGTCAGGACAGGTAAACCTGTTGGTTCAAACTCTTAATAGCTGCGTGTTTGCCCTCTAATTTCCTCTTCAGTCATTCTGAGCATCTGCTAAGCAACCAATCAAGTGAGAAAGTACAACGAGCCTTATTTTTGGTTATTCATGTCTCACTGCACTAAAGCAAGATGGTGCTTTGCTTCTGCTTACTCTTGATTCACACAGGTATAATCCCCTGTCTCAGGAGGTGGGTCTCTGCCCCAGTACACCTGCTGGAGAGATCCAGCACTGCTCTACCCACCATCTGCCCCTGGGCACGGCTCACAGGGGTGCAGGATGGCACCCAGACACCACCAGACTGGGTATGGTTTTTCAGGCAGTTTGAGACCAAGTGGGGCCACCTGTTCCCCAGTGCCCATGGTCCCCAGTTACCACAGGCCATCACTAAACAGGTATTATAGAAAGGAGGCATGCACAGGTCCTGGCTTTCACCTTGATTTCATAGAACCCTGGAATGGTTTGGGTTGGAAGGAATCTGAAAGTTCACCCAGTTCCAACCCCCAACCCCCTTCCGTGGGTGAGGACACCTTCCACCAGACAGAGTTGCCCCAATCCCCACCCAACCTGGCCCTGAACACTTCCAGGGGGGATTTGTTCTATTTCCATGGGGCGTTCAAAGAGGATTTAGTCTCACCCTAACAGCCCTTGTGGATCCCCCTGGGGCTGCCCACGGGACTGAGGCTGGTGAGCAGCAGGCATCCCCTGGCACAACACAACCTGCTGCACTGCCCCCTGACAGACACAACCTGCTGCACTGCTCCCTGACACAACCTGACCTCTGCACTGCCCCCTGACACAACCCACTGCACTGCCCCCTGACACACAACCTGCTGCACTGCTCCCTGCGTGACCATGGCCATCACCATCACCACCGAAACGGCCTGGAGGTGTTTGAGAAGCACTTTTGACATTTAAATAGAACTGGCAGCCCGAATTACAGCTTTTGTTGCATTGTCAGAGTAAATCAGCATTTGCCATTTGCTCTTCAATAGTTTTGGCTGGGCTGTTTGGCTCCAGCAAACCTGCCAGGCCAACCCTCACAGGCTGCCCAGTGACTCAGCTCAGAGCAAACAACGGGAGGGGTTTTTCAGCTCCACACACAGTAGCTGTAGAGTTTTGACACAGGACATTTCAGCCCAGGACAGGATTATTTTTCCCCTGGTACGTTAGGTTTTCTGGAGCCATGTAAGACCACATCCATTCACAGGGCATCAGGGTCCTTCTACAGCCACAGGAGCTGCCAGACCTGCCAGAAAGTCAACCAGAAGCTCCACCAGCACCTCCAAGGAAGCATCTCCATGTCCTTGCCTGCTGTTATCTGCTCCCCTCAGTGGCCACCCCACAGCCCTGGCTGCCAGCAGGCTTTTAGACTAACAGACCTTCAGCCTGACCCAGGACAGCTGTATTTTGTTCTTGTCCATTCAGTGCTGTCTAAGTGTCTGATGGATTTGCCCCTGCACTGATCTTAACCAGATTGTAGCTCCCTTGGAGAATAAGCTGTTCATAAACTGGACTCCTAGCTTTTTCCTATTTTTAGATTCTGGTTTACTTCAAATTATTTTGGCAGTATTTGCATATTAGCATTTTATGCTTGCTGTGGAGATGACTGAGGGCTTGAAACGGAGCTGCACTCCCAAGAATTCATCAGTTTGAGATACAGCATCAGTGTCTCAACAGCGTGGGAGTCATTACTGTAATGTCTGTCAGGTCCAAAGTTTATATTTTAGTGACTGATGTTTACAATACTTCAGACCAAGTTCACCTAACTCACAGCTGTGCACAGCCATTGACACCAAACATGCCACAGAAAGCCTGACGAGGCTGGTTTGGGGTCAGTGCTGAGCCCAAATCCTTTTACCTGCTTTGGACTTGGGTCAGTGCTGGCCTTGGCAGTGCTGGATTAACAGCTGGACGCGATGGTTTTAGCAATCTTTTCCCACCTAAACATTCTGTGATTCTATGCCATTAGAGCCTGGCAGTGCACAGAGGTTTTGGGATGGAGCTTGTACCAGAGTCACTCACTTGAGACTCTCCAGAGGGACCTCAGGTCTGCCCTGAGCTGTAACCTCAGCCTGTGTGACACCAACAAAACACAGATGAGTTTGAGAGTAACTGGATACGTTGTGAGGCTGAAAACACTGACAGAAAACCTGCACTGAGCCACTGCAACCTCATGTTCCTGAAAGGGGCCTCCAGAGGAGCTGAGGCTCGAGAATAGGAGAGGATAAAGAAAAACCATGATAAGATTTTATTTGAAGTTCTCCATCTGTGCCAAGAGCAAACCATTTCAAAAATCAAGGTTGGATGAACACAGACCAAGATCAGAGTGATGGATACGTAACTCAGGGTGGTGTGAGTGATCTCCCCACCACAGGCAACACCAAGTGCCCTAAAGCCAAGCCCCAGCTCACACACCAGGGCCTCACACAGGCTCTGTGTGTGCCATGCCCCATCTTGCCCAGCCTGGGTGCCTGCCAGGATTTGGGCTGCTTCTCTGCTTGTCTCCAGTGAAGAGCTCAGGCAGGGCAATTACACAGCAGCCCAGTGCCTCCCATCCTGCTGACCCCCAGGGCAGCAGCCCCAGGCAGGGGTTGGTGTTTCGGAGCCAGAGCAAGGTGCTGGTGTGGAATTCCACGGGGGGACAGGGTGCTCTCAGCCCCTGGGCTGCAGCATCTCACAGGGCCTTGCTCCCTCTCTGAGGCCACGTAGCTCTCCAGGAGCTGGGACAGCAACCCCAGTACCCCTTCAGAGCAGTCAAGTGTATGCACTGAGAGACAAAACCACAGCAAACATCACGGGTTTAAAGAAACGTAAATATTTTTATTGTAATTCCCCTACAGGGTTTTCTTTTTTGACCAGGCAAGAATCCTGCCTCCTCTGGAAGCTCTGAACTCCCAAGGACAACCTCATGCAGCAACAAAACAGCACTGAGCTGGTTATTGCTGCCCTGCACTCAAAGGTATCTTCCCAACAACATAAATCCAAAGCCAACTGATGGAGACTTTCGGTGAAGTTTCCCAAGATAGTCGTGCCAATCCCCAAAAGCATATTATTCTCCCTAATACCATCAGGACAAGTCTCATTTGTGACATCTTTATGTCCCCCACATAGCGCTGTGCTTCAAAAAATACCAGAGGTCCAATATTGGTTCCTATCTCAGTGCTTTCTATTATTCCAGTTGGAAAAAGAGAATTTTAAAGAAAGAGCCCACAGCAAACAGCCCTTCTCTCACTGTCCTCTGCCTCCTCAGTCACCACAGGAGGTTTGGTGACAGTGCTGGAAGCATCATCCCCACACCCAGCATGACTTTTGCCAAGTCATCAACCAGGGAACTCTCTCCATAATTACAAGTGATTTTTTAAAATAAGTTTTTCCAATTATTTTCTCCACCACCTTTCCCAAGATTTCCACTCACCTCTCTGCCCTTCTCCAGGGAGGCCAGCCTTCAGCAGTCCTCTCCCAGCCAAGAAGATATTCTGATGCTATGGGACAGACTGGGAAAAGCCCAAGGCCAGCAGCAGATCTCTTATCTGGCCACTGGAGCCTCGTTAGGATTTACTAAGTGCTGGCATCTGACAGCACGTCAGTAAATAAAGCACATTAAGGAACTGCCTCGTGCTTAACCCAAGCTGGCTGGTGTTGGAGCCGTGCAGTCTAATTTAGTCAGCAAGATTATTCACACCCAGAGCAGTTTTCTCTTGAAACACAGTTAGTGTTCTGCCGTCTGCCCTGGAGCCTGACCACACAAGGGTGCCAGGGCTGGGAGAGCACTCAGAGCAGGGCAAAGTCCCCGTGCCTGCTGCCTGCATCCCCTGCCCACCACAGGGTCGGCTCCACTCTGCTCAAGCCGTCTTTAGAATCGGGCCAACACCACAAGCTGAAACAATCAATGCTTTAGTGAAAGGTTAATTTATCTTATTAACTTAATCCCTCTTTATTTTTACTCTTTTCCCCAGAAATCTGCCTCTGAGGTCACCTGTGCCAGGACACAAGGACAAGGGATGCAGCTCCTCACTGCCTGCACAGCCATGGGAAAGATTAACT